ATGAATTAAAGCAAGGATATTATCAACAGAATGTTATTAGCTGTTTAATGAAGTGTTCATTTTCTCACTAACAGGAAAGTGAAAGATTTATTGCTATTTCCTGTCAAAATCCACAAGCTTTTCATGATGACAAAATAAAAATAGCGCAAAGAGGAAAAGAGCTGGGTTTTCCCCATTCTCTAAGACAGCCTTTTGCCATATGTAATTGATATCTGGCAGATGGACTAGCAAAAGTCCTTATGGATTTCCATCTACAGTAGGTTTATTTTCAGGATCAGTTTATCAGATACTTTATTTAATGAAGTTATGATTGCTATTCATTTTGCATAACTCACTGTACCAATCAGGACTTACCCTAATAGCATAATTGAAATCATCTTAATTTTACTACTGCTAAATAATTTCAGAACAACAGCAGCAACAAAAACAGAAACATGAATATTATGTTAGGATAGTAAAGTGATATCCCAAACTTTTGGAAGCAAATAAAAAGGAAAATAAGTTTCGAAACATTTGTGGGCAGATAGTGGCCATGTGAGAATTCCTGTAGGTACAGTTAATGCAGGTAAGAGGAAACCATTACTCCTGAGTCCTGTCAGAAAAAGGCATCAAAAATTTATGGTTTAATGTTTATAAGCTAATAGAATAACCACATTTAAGCAATTTATAAAACAGCAAAATTTATGAAGCATTGTTACAAAAGAGATGCACAATCACATTAAGCTGCAGTGGGTGGGGAAAGGCTGAAAGGGATGGACTAGATTTCTTAAATAAAGCTTTAAGGGAAAACATCTAGGAATTCATTTTCCGTCTTCTTCTGAGACAGTTTTGGCCATGACTATATTCTTGCATGCTTTATCAATGATGTAATTGCAAAGACACAATCTGCCCATCTCTCATTGAACACTTTAGACCAGGGGTCTCCAACCTTGGCAACTTTAAGTCTGGCAGACTTCAACTCCCAGAATTTTGGGAGTCGAAGTCCTCCAGGCTTAAAGTTGCCAAGGTTGGAGACCTCTGCTTTAGACTGCTGAAGACATGTCTCTTCTCTCTGGTCCCTGGGAGTTGTCTTCCACAACCATTTGGGTTAAATTGTAGGAGAAACTGAAATAGACTTCTGTAGAATCATGGACCTTAACCAATGGTTCCCAAAGTGCTTGTTGGATTATGTAGCTGCATTTGATAGATAGATAGATAGATAGATAGATAGATAGATAGATAGATAGACAGACAGACAGAAAGACAGGCAGACAGACAGACAGACAGACATAGATATAGACATAGACATAGACATAGACATAGATATAGACATAGTTATAGATATATAGATATAGACATAGACATAGACATAGACATAGACATAGTTCTAGATGTAGACGTAGACGTAGACGTAGACATAGACATAGACATAGACATAGACATAGACATAGACATAGACATAGACATAGACATAGACATAGACATAGACATAGACCTGGGTTGACAAACAGGATTGGTAATTTGAGAAAGTAGTAGTCTTGTAATGCATAGATGATAGATTTAAGCAAGAAAAGAGAGCCAGCTTCTGCCAGATGTTACATTGCTGATTCTGTAGTATAGGTTTTCTCCTGGGTTTTTTGGGGAAAAGCTTTTGTTACTTTGAAGGACACATCATTCCATATTTTAACATAGTTGTTTTAAAACAACATACAATTCATATTAATTAGTGTAACCCCCAGAAATTTAATCTTATTCTCAATTTTGAAGACAGTCTTTTTCATCAAAGTTGCTTGATCTTCTGTGGTCCTAGGCTTAATCAATATTGTGGGTTTTTAAAAAATTATTTGCTTTAAAACCAGTTAAAGCACCAAAAAGACCTTTAAGTTCTTCCTTTTCAGTTACATTATTAGCTCTTGTATTAGATCATCAGCAGAGACCCTCAATTTATGTCTCTTTTTAAATTTTCAAATCCAATATTTCTAATGTCTAATATCTCAAGGGAAGCCCTTATTCTCTTGGATCCTTTTCTGATGACTCAGGGGATTTTAAAGTGGATACTTGGTTGTGCCCATGGTTGTTACAAGAAATAGCTGATTTTTGGCAACATACGTTGGATGCAGCTAATTCTATACTGAAGTATGGAACAAGAAGTCCAACTGAGTACAATGAAGCATGGTTCCACAAAAGTGAGCAAGAGAGTGGTGGAGCTGAATCAGACAATGAATTGATTTATTTTACACTGGGAACACCAATGTGTGAGATTGTCTGTAAAGATTTACACCTTTTGTCCTACCTGTTGGTCTTTTACAAACAAGTAGCAAACAGATAAAAAAAAAATAATGGGGAGGAAGATTTTGTCCCAGGCCTGTGAACAAAAGTTCAATTTACGGCAATCTTTCTAGTTAGTTGTAGAGAAAAAGGGTAATGCCAATCAATTCTTGTGGAAAGATGTTCTATTTTATTCTGAGCAAAATAGATTTGCAGCCTTCCATGAACCAACAAGCATCCCAATTTATTGTATTCTTTTATCTGAAAAGCCAAACCGTTTGGCATGACGGATAAAAGTATTTGGCTCCATGACATTCATCCCCCATGAAATGAATAAGGAGAAAGGTTTGGGGCTCTACTATATGTTTCCAGAGCTTCATCTCTGTGCCAATAGAGAACTGGAAAGTGCACAAATGGATTTTACAGAGTATTCCAAATGGTCTTTAATTTGGGGGTAGTACAGAATAGTGAATGGGATTTGGACAGAGGTCAACAAAAATTTGAGATTTCTTATTCTGTAACATAACTGGGTCTCACTTACTTTGGCCATGTCATGTGGGCAAATTCACTGGAGAAAGCAATTATGTTGGGAAGAGTTAGGAAACCAGGACCCCAAAGAACACAATGGCTGGACACCATCTAAATTGACACCAGCCAGAGCATAGAAAATCTCAAAGAAATAGTGCAGGATTGAAAAATGTGGAGAGACCTGGCCCATAGAATCACCAAGAGTAGGACACAACTGAATGGATAACATTATCATCATCATCATCCAGTAGCAATAACAATAATACAATGATTTTCCCCTTTAAGTTATAAACTGAAATGAAGGAAGCTTGAGACAACAGTGCAGAGTTTTTTTGTGTGTGGCAGATATGTGGTTGTGTTTAATGTACTTGTTTTTTTTATTATTATTATTCAAAACACTTGGTAGCCTAGGAATTCTTTCCTAGTACATTGTTGCTCAGACTTTATGTTAATGGATCTCAGGATTCTATTGCGAAGCCAAGTAGATTCCACGGTGCAGAAATGGACGTGAATGATTTTCCAGCCGGAACCTCTAATGCACTGTGCTTCAACTTGAAGTGGCCTTTTCCAGCATTGGATTCATTCCAGACCTGGCAGAGTATGCAGCTGTAGTTCCAATGTGCAAAGTGTCAACTTGAGGAAGGCTGACTGAGAAGAGGGAAGGCAAAGCACAACCAGAGCTCTGGAGAAGTATTTGTGAAGCTGATAGAACTGGAAGACAGGGAAGTCCAGGGACTTGCCCATATTGTGGCTGCTAACCCACAGGAATATCACTAGTCAAATATGCCATCCTTTGGTAGCTTGAGAATTCTTAAGCAGGAGAAATGGAGTAAACTCACTTGGCTGGTGTACAAGAAACCCATTTGGATAATGGAACTGAGAAAGTCCTGAATATGTTGAGACTATGGTTTTTGAGACCTTTGTACATTGCACTTAGAACTGCCTAGGATGTTATTTTGGTTAAGAGCAAGTGTGGTGTATTCTGACCTATTATATTGATTGATTGATTGATTACGTGCCATCAAGTCATTTTCAACTTCTAGTTACTACAGAGAGAGATTTTCTCCATGACAATCTATCCCCAACCTGTTCTTTCAAGTCTCCCAAGGGTGCATTCCTTGCCATTGTAACTGAGACCATCCACCTTGCCGGCGGCCCTTCTCTCCTCTTTCCTTCCACCTTTTCCAGCATTAACAGAAGCTTCTTTCTCCCTCCTCCTCCTCCTCCTTTTATTATTCTCTCAGGAATCCATCTACCAATACAGCAGGAGATAAATTTGACTAAGAAAGGAATTAACCAGTGTCATTCAAGGGCTGAGTCCCGATGCTTCAAGGAGGACCTGGTCCACAGTAGGAGCTCTGCAAGAGCGATGCTCCATCAGATGCTCGAACACTTTCCCGCCTGTCATCCCTGCAGCAACTGTAAAATGGTTTGATCAATAGTTCTGCTCCCTTCGTCTTATCACGTCCCTCACATCTTCAAATCCAGCTTTTTTTTTCTTTTTTGGCGGGGGGTGGTGGATGGGAGGGGGAGAGATATTTTTTTTAAAAAAAACAAAAATAACGGTCCTTCTAGCTCGCTTTGTTGCTTGGTTTGCTTGGAGCCCTGGAGAGCAATGGAGAGGGCAAATCAGAGGCAGCCCAGCACCCGGCGTTTTTTGTTTTTTTCCCCCTCGGCGGCACCGAGATGGCTCTCCTGGACGCCCGAGCTGCTGGTATCTCCCTCACCACCCCACCACCCCTTTCCGCCTTCTGGAAGCCCATCGGCTCGGGCGCTTCGGGCGCTTTTTGGCTTCCTCCCATCCTTTGCCCTGCTTTCTGCTCGAAGGCTCCGGCGTCCTCTGGGGCTCCCGCATCCTCCCTCTGGAAGTCGCCCAGTCAAGCTCTTTCTCGCTCTCTCGCTCTCTCGCCGCCTCTTCGGCCGCGCCGAAACACGAGCCCCGCTCCCGTTTCCTCAGTCGAGGTTGGCTATAAGGCTGTCTCTGGATAGGGGATGCCGGGGAGGTTTTGAGCGAAGGGGTGGCGGAGGTTGCGGGGGGAGAGACAAGAAGGCAAGGCGAGGCGAGAGAGAGGCTGCTGGTGCAGAAAGCAGGCGCAGCACAATGAAGGTGTGAGGGCGAAGCCGCCTGAGCAGAGGCTGCGCTGCCTCTCTGGTCCTCCTCCTCCTCCTCCTCCTCCCCACTCCCTCCCTCCTCTTCCTCCTCCTCCTCCTCCTCCTCGTCGGTCTTCAGTCGCCGTCTCCAGGAGGGGCATGGAGGGAAACGGATGTCCGACTCGCTGAGCAAGCCCTGCTTTGGATCTATCCCCGTGGACTCCTCTCTCTCGAGGAAAATGGTCAATAGAGACATGAATGGCTTTCCTGTCAAGAAGTGCTCCGCTTTTCAGTTTTTTAAGAAGAGGGTAAGAAGAATGTTTTCAACGCAGGGCTTGTTGGTGATGCTAAAGCCTATTTGATTCTCTCTCTCTCTCTCTCTCTCTCTCTCTCTCTCTCTCTCTCTCTCTCGTTTGGAAGGGTCGTTGTACAAGTGCAGTGGAGTGACATCTGGGCTCTGATTTGTTTTAAACAGAAACTGGACAATGCAGGAGTGCATGGCACTACATAAGCATCAGTTTTAATTTTGCGGGTCGGGATGAGGCTGGATGGTAGGACGATGCCCGAATAAAAGCTGTATACAGAGTGGTTCTGTATAAACCGAACTCAGGAGGTTACCGTTCTGTTTTCTGTTTTCTACAGAATTTGGCAATAGTGGCTAGATGGAGCTTTCATGCTCAGAGGCAGTGTATCTTTGAAATATCAAAGACAGAGGATGGAGAGGTTTGTTTGCCTTTTGCATCTTGTGGTGATCTGTTGTGATCTGCCCAGAGGCATCTGGTCAGCTTGTGTTGGGAAGAGTTCACTAAATTCAATAGATCTTTGATTCGATCCCTCGCAACTTTGTTTATGGCTTGATAGTCTGCATTTGGTTGTATGCTCTGTTTGGGGGGGAGGGGGGAGGTGTGTTCATTTTTCTCTCCTTCCTCACAGTTCCTCATCTGAAAACTGGAATGCACCCTGACCTACTTTGCTCCCCCTTCTAAAATGGGGATTTGGTCATTGGACAGATGGAAAGAACAAACTGTGCATGAAAATAGAAGGCAGAATATTGAGGAGCCATAAAATGATGGTTGTCCAGCCTTGTAATAGCCTCTCCCATTGTGTGGCTCTTCTAGCTTTCTCCATTTTATCATTCAAGCAGTTTGTGACCCTTTCATTCATAAACTCCCAAAGTGCTGCATTATTTCGCCTCCATTCATCTCTGGATGCTGAGCTATTTGCAGGTTCAGCAGAACTGTGCCACAGCCTATAATCTACCCAGTAACCAAGGTTTGTTCCATGCAATCGCGATCCTAGATGCTAAAGCAGGAAAGAAGAACTGGCGACAATTCTTTGCATTGGAAGACTAATACAGAGCTTATTTCACTGAATTCTCTGGGTCCTCCTTAGCTTGTTGCACGATGTGATATAACAGATAAAATCCAGTTTGCTTTTGAAGTGGGGAAAAATTGTGCCCATGATGTAATGCTTCGCTGATGATGCCTCCTTGTCTGGGTACAAGCTCACAGCTGCCTACAAAGTCTTCCTTGTTAGTCCCCATTAACCGCATCCACTCTCATTCAGCAGTTCTGGGTTCCATGACATTTAGCTAATCAACCAGGCAACATTTTCTTTCTTAGAATGGCAATACGAAGATCGAGAGCAGATGATTAAGAAACAGGAGTGAAGAGGTTTCCAGCCCTATTTCTACCTAAATCCTTTCTACAAGAATACATGTGTCTGTATGTGTGTGTTTATTTTAGGACCTATATTTCTTGTGAAGCACAATAGTAAGAGGAGGCAGATTGTGCTGTTCCTTCATTCACCAATTTCCATTCACCCTCCCTCTGCCTTATATGGAGGAGACTGTCACTTCCATTTAGCCCAGTGGTTAAATGCAGAAAAGAGATTCCAACCGGAAACTCCATCTCTCTTAACTCGCCACAGCAGAAAGCTGTGACCCAGTCACGCACTGCAAGGAACTAGTTTCGATGCATGAAGTGGAAAATTGGAAACAATTCCCACAGCTGTGCATTTGGTGTAACAGTACATGGTCTTCCCCCTTTCCGTGCAGCCTTATGGTCAGGATGCTTTCCTCAGAGTCTGCTTACCTTGCAATCTTACATGCGTCTATAGAAGGGTAAAACCATTGAGTTTAATAATGTTTATTCCTAGTTATAAGTGAGGGTCACAGCCCTAGTCTTAGGTAAGGCCACAATTAGTTTTTGGCAGGTGGGCTTTCTTCAATATCATTGGCATGAATAGAATAGAATAGAATAGAATAGAATAGAATAGAATAGAATAGAATAGAATAGAATAACAGAGTTGGAAGGGACCTTGGAGGTCTTCTAGTCCAACCCCCTGCCTAGGCAGGAAACCCTACACCACTTCAGACAAATGGTTATCCAACATCTTCTTCCAGTGTTGGAGCATTTGCAATTTCTTGAGGCAATTTGTTCCACTGATTAATTATTCTAACTGTCAGGAAATTTCTCCTTAGTTCTAGGCTGCTTCTCTCCTTGATTAGTTTCTACCCATTGCTTCTTGTCCTACCCTCAGGTGCTTTGGAGAATAGCTTTACTCCCTCTTCTTTGTGGCAACCCCTGAGATATTGGAACACTGCTATCATGTCTCCTCTAGTCCTTCTTTTCATTAAATTAGACATACCCAGTTCCTGCAACCGTTCTTTATATGTTTTAGCCTCCAGTCCCTTAATTATCTTTGTTGCTCTTCTCTGCACTCTTTCTAGAGTCTCAACATCTTTTTTACATCATGGCAACCAAAACTAAATACAGTATTCCAAGTGTGGCCTTACCAAGGCATTATAAAGTGGTATTAACACTTCACGTGATCTGCAGCCTAGAACTGTGTTGTGGAGAAAGATTCATTATATGGTATTCTTTTCAAATCCACATTTGTTTAGTTTGTTTTCTGTACAGGTAGACCTCAACTTAAAACCATTTGTTTAGTGACAGTTATGATGGCACTGAAAAAAGTGACTTATGGCCATTTTTCACACTTACGACCGTTGCCGCATCCCCTCCCCCATAGTGACATGATCAAAATTCAAACGCTTCGCAACTGGTATGTATTTATGATTTCCCACTGTCCCAGAGTCATGTGATCAGCTTTTGAGACCTTCTGACAAGCGACGTCAATGGGGAAGCCAGATTCACTTAACAACCGTGTTTTTAACGTATACAACTGTAGTGATTCACCTATAAGAATGTGGTAAGAAAGGTCAAAAAATAGGACAAAACTCACCAACTGTCTTGCTTAGCAGTGGAAATGTTTGGCTCAATTGGGGTCGTAAGTCGAGGACTACCTGAAATTGAATTGTAACTGTATATGAGTGTAAGTCTTTGAAGCTTTGTCAGGGGTTATCGCAGCAGCATGCCAAAACCTCTTCCCCCTCCCAGTGCTCTTTGGAATGGCATCCCTGGTAGACACATGTCTCATATAAAAAATGTCAACATTACTTCAGCTGGCGCCTTTTCTTTTTCTTTCACATGCTCATCAATCTGTACATTCTGACCGAACTGTGGAATGTGAGAAATGTACACCATAATAATTGCTGGTTTGTATGAACACCCATGCCTTGTGTTAGGTTCACTTGAGATGGAATTCCATTGGAAGAGACTTCTGGCTTTTAATCACTCAGCGCTCCAGGCCAAAGCAAATTCTCATTTCTCCATCTGCAGAGTCCCAATCAGAGACATTAGAGGTCACGGCGCCTATTTATTTTTTTAGAAAAATGTTTCTGCTCATCTTGACCCATCACTATTGCCCTGTCAATAGATAAACCAACTTTCTCAATAGAGACCGCAGTGCTTGATGTGAGTGAATGGGTTTTGTCCCATTGATGGCTAGTTCATCCCTGGAATAATATTTGGGATAGATAGCAGCTCAATACTCACTGGTATGGAATGTGTGACTTAGGGTATTCTGTAGATACCTGAGGAAAAATATATTTAAAGTTATGGGAAATTGGATATTGCACAAGAGTTTAATATTGGTTTTAAATTCAACCATATATTCTAAATTTCACTTATCCTGATTTCTTCCAAGTTTACCTAGTCTGGTAGGTAGTACTCAATGACTAAAAGATACATGTAATATTGTTATAAAATATCTGCTGAGTTCTGCTGAAATTCTTATTGCTAGGTATTGCAAGTGTAACTAGATTAACAAACAGTGAATCTTAGGGCAAAATAAACTTACTATTGCTTCCATTGCCACTGGCATTAAAAGTAAAATGGTTTGCACGCAAACATAAAATGCACTTTCATTTGTGTGTGTGTGTGTGTGTGTGTGTGTGTGTCAGTGGTGGGTTGCCCCCGGTTTGCACCGGTTCTATAGAGCCGGTAGTAAAACCGGCAGGAGGCTCCGCCCACTGACCCTGATGTCATCAAACCGCTTTTGCGCATGCGCAGAAGAGAATGTGCGCGGCCCCGTTGCAAACCGGTAGTAAAGGTAAGTAGAACCCACCCCTGGTGTGCGTGTGTTGTCTATAAATTCATTTTTAAGTCAATATCAGAATAATTTCATAAACATGCTGTATATTTCAAAATAGGAAAATAAAAGTGGTAAAAATCAATACAATAACAGGTGTTGGAAGGGGTATCATACAAAGAATATCTTATGTGTTGTTCAACAAAACTTGAAACTAATCCACTGTTCTTTTGCGCAAAAGTTTTGGTAAGCCCTACTAGCAAGCTATGCTGATCAAAACGGAACTTTTGAGCCAAACTGATGGTTCAGCTACACAAAATGAAGAATTACAGTAGTGTCCTTTGGCACTGTTTCTCCAGTGATAGTCCATTTGACCTTGAAAAATGCACCCCATTACAATTCTGCTGCAAATGTCCCATGCAAACCCTGTAGAGCTATGGGTCTGCAGGACTATTGTTTCACAGGGGCATTGCGGGCGGGGGAGTGTTAAAATCTCCAAAAATATAGGCGTGACATTCCAATAAAAGACCTACAACTTTTTGTACAGGGATGGAAATCCCTGTAGTAGGTTTCACTTTTTGTACAGGGATGGAAATCCCTGTAGTAGGTTTCACTTACCTTTGCTACCGGTTTGGAACTGTGAGCGTGTGCATGCTTGCTCGCTTTGCTTGTGCACGGCACTTCTGCACATGCGCAGAGCATCTGTGATGACATCCGGGCGGGTGGGCGGAACCTCCCGCCGCTACCGATTCGCCTGAACCGGGGTGAACTGGTAGAAACTCACCACTGGTCAAGTTGTTTCAGAACACTGAAACACATTTTTAAAGATCCTGACCAAGTCATGCTAGAGACAAAAGAGAGAGGCAAGGCTTTT